GGATTAGTTTGACCTGGTATTCAGACACATTTCCGAAATGGAGCTTGTTTTAGCTGAACACCATGCACCACTGGGTACTTAACTGGCAATGAGGGAGTGCTGCAAGGACGCTGAATGTGTGTTAATAGCCCTTGTTTCAGAGGGGCCCCAATTACCAGTGCTATACCTCTTTTATCCTCTGGGGTAAACAGATACTGCTGCTTGATCTAAAAGCAAGTCACTGGACAGCATCTGTCACTGCTTACATCAACAAATGCGTGGATGGTGTAACCATCTCAAAGACCATCAGCACCCAAGCCAACCAGAAACTAAGGACGTTGACTGATGTATGTACTGTGCTGAAAGCCTATGATACAATTTTTAAATTGGGAGACAATGTAGCTCTTAGCACAGCAAGGGCAAACCTTTCCTGGAACATCAGAGCTGCACAGAACATGTACGCTCTAGGAATTCTCATTCACTTACAAGATAACAAAGACTCATGGGTCTTATGGCAGCGCACTCAGACCATCACAGACTACAAGACTATACAACACGCTAGAAAAAGAGACACCTCCCTCCCAGATGCACTAAATGACATGCCTACAAAGAAGATCATCCCCTTGCAAAGGAACAGGTACTATGTTGGTCCACAGCGGACATGAGTAAATGTGAGAGAAAATCCACACAAAGCTGCTGGACTGGACAGCAACCTGGGCCGAATAAGCAAACTAACTGGCTGGTGTGCTTGCAGAGTCCATCAACATTTCTCTGAGCTGGGCAGTCACTCAAAGTGCTTCAAGGCCACCACCATCATGCTCTGAAGAAGTCACACTCAAACCTGTCATCATCATATGCTAGTAATGCGAAAGGCTTGGCAAACTGAACTCTCAATTACACGTTGCCCCTCACCAGTTTCCTCATCTCAACTGGTCCATCCTCAGCTCTTCACCTGGCCCTGTTCCACTTGGACAGCTACCATCCAACACCATCATCCCCTAGATGCTGATGGAGATGTTGAGGCTACTGAGCTTCAGCATCTCCCGATGCCACTGGATTGAGAGACCTCAGATAGTCCACATGGGCAACAGCATCTCCTGCACTGGACCCCTCTGCTAGCTGCTCCTGATAACACCTGCCAGTCACACCAATGAACAGGAAAGGCAGGAGGATATGATCTCCTCCTACAGATGGATAAAACACCTCTTAAACTGAAAGTTTCTGACCTGAGACATTATGCATTATTATTATTATACATTATTAGACATTATGTATGAGACATTAATAGCATACACCTGTCACAAGGTTACACTCTCGCAAGCAAGATCTCTCTAAGAACGAAGTTTGATTGTTTTAAACTTCACTATCCATGTCGACTGAAACTTCCTGGACCAGAAACATCTGCAGAGGCAATTCATGAATTTCCTGGTTCCTCCATCTGCATGTTCCAGCTCTGAAGATCATTGCTGCACTCCCTGGCTCTTCCAAACAAGAGGACCCTCATCCTGGAGTCAAGTATTCCAGAACCATTTAGGACCATTTACAATCCAGCACTTTGACTCCAAAAATCTGTGTAGTCTTCTCCTTTCCTGCTAATATGCAAGCGGCAGCACAGTGGAGGATGTCTCTTGTGCCGGATTAGCTAAACAAACTCTCTCCCCAGAGACCTTGGTACTGAACATGTCCATTTGTACTTGTATCTAAAGTGTGTCATAGATACTGATTGTAGGCCTATTCATAGATGCTCTCTGATACAAAGGGGGAAACTTCATCCTAGTAAGAGTTCACCCTGCAGTTTATGACAGCCAGCTTGCAGTGTCTGTGTCTATTATAATACCCAGTTTAGCATTTTGTGAAAGTAATTTCCCCATAAACTGAGTTAAAGGCATAGGGATGATCCACTGTCATTTGCTAATCACAGAACTTCATTTTGACTGTGGGGTCTGCTGAGGGTGGGGCAAGTGAGGGTGGCACATTTGGGTCCTTGCTGTTATTGTGATGTGCCTGGGGTTGTACTGCTTATCATTCACAGAATGGCCACATCCCTTTTCTTACTGCTTCTGCATCCATAGCTGAAAAAATACAGAAAAAATACAAATAAAGTACATTTCTGCCTAGTGCTTTGGTAACTGAAGAATGTTATCGATAGGGATTATGAGGTTTACATCAAATGTGTTTTCCACTACAATGATCCAAAACAATTCTTCTTTTTACCTTTTATTTAAACTACTCATGAAAGAAAATAAGTAAATCCAGGGTAAACCTGATAAATCTATCCAGGGATTAGACTCACTTGAAAACAGTGAGGCTCCACACACCATTCTGAGTAACATGCAAGTAGAATACCGTGTGTGTGCTGATCTGGATGTTTTGCAGTAAATTTCTTAAAGACATAAAAACCAATTACTTATAACATGGCCCATTATACACAAATTGAACAGACAAGCACTCTGCAAACACAAAAGATAAAATCTGAGAATTCAAAACATTCCTTGTATGCTTTAACCAGTCATATAGTATTATTAGGAGATGTTTGGGCTGGACAGTATGCATACTTTGTATAAAACAATAAAAACAAAAACAAATAAAACAAATAAGACATAGGACATGCTGTAGTTTAAGCTGTTAGAAGCTTTAAAGTTTCAAAGACATAAAGTCTTACCTGTAATTATAAACACTGAACAACTACACTCACCTAAAGGATTATTAGGAACACCATACTAAGACGGTGTTTGACCCCCTTTCGCCTTCAGAACTGCCTTAATTCTACGTGGCATTGATTCAACAAGGTGCTGAAAGCATTCTTTAGA